AGGGTTAGTTCGCCCATTTAAGACATGGAGTTGTATGCAATCCTTACCAGCACTATACAGTACATACACACTGACCCACTCTGTTGTGACCCCCCTGGTCAGAGTTCTGACCGCTGGAAGTTTTTTAATGAAGTACTCCCGGTTATTTTCCGGGGCCACAAAACTGTGCGTTTTTACGTGAAAAAATGATTTGCGTTTCAAAGCTTGATTAATTTACCACACAAAAAACACGCCGGGCAAAATTCATACCTCAGTTTTAATGCGGCACTATTTTCTATTCATTTCTATCAATCCGCGCTGCCGCAACGTCATCAGTGCGCACGTTACGATCAGCTGTTGATATCGCGCGACTCGCTGACAACATGTCTGACTGCGAAACTTATGATGATGAAACGAATTTTAGCACAATGTCAGACGGATCAGATGATGAAAGTATTTTTAGCACAACGACAAAGGGATACCTGAAGTGATACATGAACCGGAGTATACTGATGCCGAACTATCGATTGACGAGGAGGCCAGCTGTCTGCATTAGCTGCATCCAATGACATTTTCCCTGCAATGCTAAACCTGGAGACGTTCTTCTACGTACCTAAACTCAATTGGAAAAAGCGACCCAAACCAGCTGGACTGACGGTCAGATGTTGGCTGAGTAAGTGTGATCGCTCACGTTGCTTTGTAGTTTTTTATTTAAGAATTTAACGTTGTCTTGACCAGTTGGCTATATAATAAGCCTAGTCTATCTGACTGCTTTATTATTATTATACTGAGTGGACAGTAATACAATTATTAATAAATTAATAATTGTATTACTGTCTTGACACAAAATGTCTCATCAGCTTGTTTACCGTATAGTTTAGACATGGGATCATAAAGTTAGCTTACCCGTGGTACTGGTAGCAAACAGCAAAACTCTTTAAAATATTTTTTTTTTCCTTTTCCTCCTTGGTTGGGGATGTAATCGTCTTTTCTGAAGTGAGCACACACACGAAAATCCTTTATTCGGGATATTTTAGCTCCCATGGCAACCAGCCAAAGCTGTCTCATAGGAAACATGAAAACGATGGAATCTGAACTTTGATCCCGGAACATCCTTGTGGTCACAGCCTGGGAATTTACAAGTTCGCACTATTGTTAATGTAATACTTTTTACATAGTAGTCAATCGATTGTCAAATTATGGAACAGCTGATCGTAACGTGCACACAGTTGACAATGACAGCAGCGCGGATTGATAGAAATGGATAGAAAATAGTGCCGCATTAAAACTGAGGTATGAATTTTGAACGGCGTGTTTTTTGTGTGGTAAATTAATCAAGCTTTGAAACGCAAATCATTTTTTCACGTAAAAACGCACAGTTTTGTGGCCCCGGAAAATAGCCGGGAGTACTTTATTTAAAAACTTCCAGCGGTCAGAACTCTGACCAGGGGGGTCACAACAGAGTGGGTCCGTGTGTATACATTATAGTGCTGGTAAGGATTGCATACAACTTCATGTCTTAAATGGGCGAACTAACCCTTTAACATAATGGCTAAGTTTATGCAACTGGCCCCTGGTTTTTCATTTTGGTGACTTGATGTCAGGTATAATAAATATGGAATGTAGCATTTTCTTGTAAAATTACCTGCTGTTTTATTGCCTTGCTAGTTTTTTTTCTCTTGCATTTGATGCTTGGTGGCGTGCAGAGTGTTTACAAGCATACCCAGCCTTATTTTGCATTTTAATTATTGTGTGTCTAGAGAAATAACTTAATCCCCAATTGCAGAAAAAAAACATAATTTTGGGGTACACCATTAAAGAAATTCAGATTCAAGCCAGTCATACAGAATTCCCATTACAGTTTTAGTGAATTATGCATGGGATTGTCAGACGACGTTAATGTTGCGAACCGCCAACCCCGTCGTTACCCAGCTACCCAAAAAATGTGTTTTGTGAATTAGTTCTGAAACGTCCAGCTTTTTAAACGTTTTTTCTTTTTTTTTTTTAGCTTAAAAAAAAACGTTTAAGCTTTTTTTTTTCTTGATTATGCAAACATTGCATTTTGCAAACAATATAGGAATGCTACTTTTGAAGGTTCTCTAAAAA